CTCTCAAGAAGAATCATCATTACCCTGTCATAGTGTGGTTTGCAATGTCCTCAGTGATATCCTTAGAGTTAGACTCATCACCAAGTATCCTAGGGCTGTTTCTTCCAGGTCTCCTGAGGACAGGGCATTGAGATGCTGTCAGAAGTCACAACCGCTACAGGCACAGAGCCACTGATCCACATGTGGCCAATCTGGCTCCCAAAGGAACTCCCAGACTCTTAGCATCCCAGGAGTGGCAAGAGGTGGGTGGGTGGAGCTTAGCCCAGAGATGAAAGCAGAAAGCAAGTGGGAATGTGTGTTCTGTCCCCTGTCCCACCTTTCTAGAATCCTGTCCCCCCTCCTAGCATCCTTTTCTCTACCCACATCACCACCACCCTCCCTCTGCCTGATCTCTAACTTTGAACTGTTCTCAGGATGTTTCTTACTTTCCTTTTTCCCCCCAAGGAACTTACCTTAAAAAAAAAAAAGTGTTACTTAGGAATTTTATGTGTTACCACCTGGGTATATTTGCATTTTAAAGACCACTGGCAGAGGATACTGTTAACCATAAGGAAATGAATAACTACTGGTGTAATTCAAGGCATCTGGAGTCCTTTAAATTATTCAACATGGACAAGCTCCCCATACGAACTACCAACCTGGGGTGAGTGAGTAAAGAGACAGAGAAAAGTTGGGAAGATCTAACTCTGTTCTCTCATTTTGGCACATGGACCAATCCATGCTGCTAGCCTTAGCTAATTCTCTCTGTCTTCCTGTATCTTGGCTTTTTTTTTGCACAAAAGAGTGGCCAGAGGGATGGCATTTCCAGGCCCAATCAACGGCATACACAAGGATGGGATAATTCCAATATATTAATTTTCCCCATTGCAGTGATACCAACAGTAGCAGCAATGACACAACAATCACTGTATGTTTTCTAGGTGTCAGGCCCCTTTTGATCCCCAAGCCTTGTGAAAGAGTGGTCAGTGGACTTTCTGGTTAATTAGAGCTAAACCTCCACCTTTGGATCCTTTTTACGTTAATTGGTTTGAGTACACATTTGAGCTGACCTAGAAATGAATGTGAAAATGATGAGAAAAAAATACTTTGACCAATGTAGTCTTTCCTAGACTGAGACTTAGCATGGGGGACATTCTGGCTCAATTAAAAGAGATGTAATAAGGCAGAGAGGGATGGGGTCCTAAGGATACGGAGCTGTAAGGAAGCTTAGAGTTCCAACTTTCTCATTGTACAGATGCAAAAAATTATATACCAGGTAAACTGTCTAAAGCCACAGAGCTCCAAGAAGACTTGGTGGTAGGGGGTGGGGTCGGGGAGGTGACATGGTTATAAAAGCAGGTGCCAACAAGGACTTTGCTAGATTTAAGTGAAGATATTTTAATACAGAAATAGAAGTTTAATAATGACTGCAGTTAAATTAAGCTAGGAACAAATAAGAACAAAGACTAGTGAATGACTTCTATCTGATGAGTATTCATTTGCCGAGAGTACATTAGCAATCATTCTGAACTCTTTTCCTGAGCAGGTGGTGAGAAGGGCGAGCATCACCTCATGGAGATATGTTACCCAAGGTGGATGCCTGTGATTAGGGCACACAGCCAATAGAACATCTTGGTGAAAAATGTGGGAAGAACAGTTTTTGTGTGAAAACTGTTCTTTACTATTTTAAGAAGGAAGTGGCTAGTGTTTCTTATCTACCCAGATTTAGTCTATCAGTGATTTATGAAAGATAGTGTACAATCCACCAGTCACCTCCAAAGGATAATTTTTAGTCTTATCCAACCAACTGTGGTTAAATGTCATCAGCTTTATGAAAGGCACTGAAACACTGAATGTTTCTTTTTTTTTTTTTTTAAAGATTTTACTTATTTATTTGACATAGAGAGAGAACAAGTAGGCAGAGAGGCAGGCTGAGGGAGAGGGAGAAGCAGGCTCCCCGCTGAGCAGGGAGCCCGATGTGGGACTTGATCCAGGACCCTGGGATCATGACCTGAGCCGAAGGCAGCCGCTTAACCGGCTGAGCCACCCAGGCGCCCCAACACTGAACATTTCTAACACTTCAGTCTTTGGAAGTCTAGAAGACGAGTACTCTTTATTGCGCATTTTACTAGAGCCCCTTGGAGAATGAAAAAGAAGTCAAAAATTAAAAATAAATAAAGCATATGTTCACATGCTCAAAGAGATTATAATCTGGCTGCAACAGCAGCAGGAAAAGCAAAATCATCCTTACCACCATCATTAACACCCTTGAATACTTGCTATGGATAGATACCATACAAAACACAGCATGTACATCATTCCACTTAATACTCGCATTGACCTTTAGGAGGTTCTATTATAACCCGATTTACTGATGAGAAAACTGAGCCCCAGAGAGGCTTCCAGCTTGGCAGTAAGTGCAAACCCAAGTCTGTCTGACTTTAGAGCCTGTGATCCTTCCATCACTGCACACTGCCCTCACAAGAAAGCTTTACAGCAAAGCATGGTGATTGTCAACCTGATTAATAGAGACAGAACTGGCCCCAACACAGAGTAGATTTGTTCTTGGCTGCTGCTACTATTTATTCTGCCTCGTTTTGGATTCAGTACACCAACGTCTCACCCTCATAATGTGATTTGTGTGGGAGCAGATTATAGACTTGTAAAGTATATAGAAGCCATGCAGTGTGTGACTTGTTATTATACGTGTTAAAGACAAGATAGAGAATAATGCAGACATGTTTTGCTCCTTCTGACAGGTCTAGTTTATGGATTATGAATTAAATGTGAGCACATTGTCTTTCCTCCTTCCAAACCTGCATTTCCAAGTAGGAATAGAAATGTATTCTTGATCTTAGCTGAAATCTTTGAGTTTCCTGTGTGTGTCTGGGTAGCAGTCATCCATCCAATAGTTACCAAGCCTTTACTAAGTGCTTGGTGATGTCCTCAGTACTGCACACACAAGGATGGAAAACCACAGCCTTTGTCCTTAGGGAGCTGAGTCTCATTGGAGACAGACATAAAGTTGCCAGATTTAGCAAATAAAAAATACAGGATACCCTGTTAAATATTTCATGGAACATAATTACACTAAAAAATTGTCCTGTTTATCTGGATAATATAATTTAACCAGGTGCCATGTAGTTTAGCTGGAAACCATAGCAGACATAAAAGTCCACCACACCCAACAAAAAGATGGCGGTTCTAATGGTTGTGCACACAGAGCTCTGTAGGCACACAAGAGAAGGATAGCCAAGGGAACCTTCACATGACTGTGTGGGCCAACTTAAAGGAATGGTGCCTTTGCAGGGTGATCTTGAATAAGATTTGATAGGCAAAGATGAAGGGAAGGAAATTCCAGATGCAGGAAGAACACAGAATTTGACATAATGCCTGGAGTGTGTGATCAATGGGAGAAGGGCAGAGACGAATGTGAGGGGCAGGTCATGAAGGGCTTTGGTAGAAAGGTGAAGGATTTAGACCTCATTCTACCATCAGTAGGAAACCACCCAACCAAATACTTTTTCTTATTTTTTCATACAATCAGACTTTGACTAAGAAGTGTTTTATTACAAAATGTGGGCCATGGACCAATGTTACTGCGGGAGGTAATTTTAGGTAATAATTTCTGATGATTTGGCATAGTATTGGGGAATGCAGCATTAAATAACCTTGACTTGCGTGGGGTGTTAATCTGCCTTTTTTTTTTTTTTTCAGTTTAAAGCTCTTAATTTTATTTTTATGTATACACTTAAAAAATTTATAGATTTGGGCGCCTGGGTGGCTCAGTTGGTTAAGCGACTGCCTTCGGCTCAGGTCATGATCCTGGAGTCCCGGGATCGAGTCCCACATCAGGCTCCCTGCTCAGCAGGGAGTCTGCTTCTCCCTCTGACCCTCCTCCCTCTCATGCTCTCTGTCTCTCATTCTCTCTCTCTCAAATAAATAAATAAAATCTTTAAAAAAAAATTTATAGACTTTGTTTTTTAGAACAGTTTGGGGTTTACGAGACATTGAGCAGAAAGTACAGAGTTCCCATATATCCCCTCTTGGTTCCTTTTTTATTGTCTTTCAATCACCTCTTATTACTCAAGATGGAAATCTTCATTTGGTGTTATTCTTTTTTTTTTTTTTTTAAGTAACCACTACCCCCAACATGGGGCTCAAACTCAGGACACAGAGAGTCAGTTAACTGAGCTGTCTCAGTTAACAACAACAACAACAAAAATATTATAGCTAGTAAAAGGACTTTCTAGCTTTTGTGTGTACATGTGGATTTTTTTTTAATTTTATAAAAGAATTTTAGAAAGGCACTGGGGGAGAGAAAAATGACACCATTCCAATACAAACTGATGCATGAGAGAAGAATTTTGTACCACAAATGATGGCCCAATTAGCAGTGGCTTCTATGTATTTGGAGGACACTAGGGAAAAATGGCACTTCTTTCTTTCTTTTCTTTTTTTTTTTTTTAAGGATTTTATTTATTTATTTGACAGAGAGAGAGAAGAGAGATCACAAGTAGGCAGGCAGGCAGGCAGAGGGAGAGGGAGAAGCAGGTTCCCCGCTGAGCAAGGAGCCCAATGTGGGACTTGATCCCAGGACCCCGGGATCATGACCTGAGCCAAAGGCAGACGCCTAACCGACTGAGCCACCCAGGTGCTCCGGCACTTGTTTGTTTCTTGATCACTGTGAAAAATCCCATCTTTGGCAATCTCTGGAAAGCCCTCTTAATGGCATGGTATTACTTAGCTATGCAGGGGCCTCTGTTGTGGAGGTCATAAAAACATTGCCTAAGAGATGTGCATGGAAAGTGGAAAGGCCAAGTTAGAGAATGGGAGTGATACATTCTCTGATACCACAAGAGCTTTAAGCAATTTTGCAGTGAGACTGCAAAAAAGGCGGACTTCAAGCTGTAAAGCGTTAGGAGAAAGACCAATGAATGGAGCATTAACAATATTCGCTGCAAATAAAAATGCAAACACACTAGCCACGGCCTTTTAAAATGTTGCAAGTGTATTTTATCTTGGAGATCGGCTTACATTAGTTCTCGAATCTTCGCTTCCAATTTTTGAGCATCGGCTCCACAAAATTCAAAAATCTGTTCACAAATATATAAGGGGAAATATGTATTGGTTTAAATATTTACAAAGACGTTAAAGCTTTGAGGAGTTTTGTTCCTGTTAAATTACCCTCTACTCATTTCCATTGTCTGAAAGATACTTAAAATATAAATACATATCTAACACATTAAATTCATGATGTTTTCAATTATTTGGCACCTTTTCAAAATTGTTTATGCTAACATTTTGCCAGATTTATATAATTCTCCTTAATAGTCTTCTAAACTGAGATCTAAAACATATAATGTGTTAGAAATGAGAAAACTCAATCATTGAAACCTTTCAGAGCCTTTATACATTGGTCTTAAGGACTTGTTAATTCATACATATGATTTCCTGAAATCAAATGAGACATGATTTCCCATGCCCTGACTTTTGCACAGGTAACAGTATTATAACCAACTGATTCTAAGAAGCACATATTCTTTTCATATTGTCACATCTCTGACTCAGGATGTATCTCATAGTGGGTGGTATATTTTATTTGGAACACTTTTCAGTCGTATGTAACATAATGGTGCCTCTGTCAATGGGCATCTTATATTTGATGAAATATGGAAGTTTAAGACTCTTACCATGCATTATCACTTTAGTACCAATTGTATGATGTGCTTGTAGAGAAGGTAGAATTTGGGCAACCTGAGGACGGGATTAGCTGAAGATTTGAGTTTCCAGTGAGGGAGGTTTCAGCAGCCAGAAATGGTGTTAGGACTTTGGGACAGGGGTTGGAAAGTTCTAGAACAACTTCAGTGCTCAGTGTATAGCAGAGAAGAAACTATCCCTGCTTCTAATGATTCTGCTTCCCCAGGCAGCAGCATTCTATCTGGGTGCTGCCTGTGGGCATCATGGTTCATTCTATTTCTTGAAAGTAGAGCCCAGACTTCTGACTCCATCTTGATCCCATTTCACTTACCGGCTCGCCCATGAATCCACTTCCATTACAGCAAATTGCTCTTTTTAGTCTTGAGAATAGGGTTACCTAAGTGTGGGTGCAGAATTTCATGATTTATCTGGGTTGCCTGGTTTGTACCCATTTCCTCTATAAATAGTTCTCATGGCATTGGCTGCCGGGGAGGAAGGTGTCAGAAAGGATTTACAATGTGTTTCATTTCTATGAGTTGGGTGGCAGCTGGATGGTGTCTATAGGCATGAAGGGAGTTTCATAATCCCCTGAGCCCATGGCAGGTACAAAGACAAGAACCCCTGGCATGAACATAGGCAGGGCTTGGCCACCTGAATGACCAGATTTGGCTAACAGTTTTCCGAAGTGATTTTATCAATTTACATTCCACCAGCAGAGGATGAATGTTCTGGGTGCTCTATACGCTCCATATGCTTGACAAGACTTTGTATTGCCCATTCTTTATCGTGGTAGCCATTCTGGTGGCTTTAGGGGACATTAAATTTGTCACTGAATTTCATGGATTTTACCTCATCAACTTTCCCTTGAACTTAAGCAACAGCGTATGACTTGTCTGTCTTCAGTCTTATGTCCCTTAGTTCCCTTTCTCCTTGAAGATCAAAAACACAAATCTAGTCTTTGTACAATTCTTCAGTGTTTCTCCACCACCATAAAATCCAAGGTCCTTACGGGGATTCCTTGATTTTGTCCTGTCTACCTCACTGTCCTCCACCTGAAACTCTGACCTCTAGCGACACATTATAATTGGATTCACTTATTTATTTAATTGAATAAATATTTAATAAGTGTCTACTATGAGCCAGACATAGTAAACATGCCAGACAAAAATCCCCTCTGGAGTTCATATTCTAATGATAATTTTATACTATCGTATTGTTACCAAAAAATTCCTGATACATACCCACGCTGTTTTGTAACTCCCACTTCTTCCCTTCTTTCTCACCTGTTAGTCTTAACCATCCTTCAAGATTTAACTCATGAAGTCTTTGTAATCTCACAGAACCTGGGCACTCCACTACTCAAGAGTTGATTTTGTTACATCATCTTTTGCAGCTGACCAAAGACGGGGACTCTGTCTCATTTTTTTCCCTCCATACTTTTAGTATCTAGCTAGGAACCGTATACAGAGCAGATGCTCTGTTAATGATTTTAGGACTGAAGTGAGCTGAGCTAAGCTGATTTCTGGCCACCGAAGAACAGGTCCAAGACTCTGGGTAGTGTTAGGCTTCAGAGACCAGGTGTTACCTATTTTATTTTTTGTCCAGTTTGCCAAAAGCAAATGGAATATGTCTCCCTGTCTAGCATGAGGCTTTGTACACAGGAGCTTCATATATGTAGTTAATGAATGAGGAGCAGCTTAGTGATAAGAGCTTATTACATAGGTAGCTTTCTTTTGAAGAGAGATATATGCAAGGAAACCAGCATATAATTTCTGCTCAAAATGTTTTCTCATTTTAATCTGAATGTTTCGCTATGTCTCTCAAAGGCATGCTCCACTATGAGGGATTAGGAAGCAGTGTTTACTTCTCTCTCCTCAGCGCCTTCAGTTTAAGCAGCGCTGCCACCCCCATAATGACTGCTAATGAAAATGGTGAGTTCCAGTTTGCGGAGCCCAACGGGATATGGGGGGGGCTACCCATGCATTATAGAACCACCTATGTCCAACAGTCACTTAAAAAATCTTTCATTATGAACTTTTTTTTTTTTTTATTCTTATGTTAATCCCCATACATTACATCATTAGTTCTAGATGAAGTGTTCCATGATTCATTGTTC